TTAGCTACCTGAATTAGTCATTTTCCTTGGTTTCACTTTCTGAAATTTTGTATTGAAATTGAAGCAGTCTGTAAAGTCCAGATTATACTTTTTCTTAACTCATGCCAATTGCAAGAGTTTTATATATAAACATGCAGTTTAGCAATTCCAGACTTAGCTCAATTTAGTGCATTTCTATCAAATTATGTAATTTTAACTTACTTTAACACTTATATGATCACATTAGCACAAAAGTTTCAAAGAAGCTACGAGTTCCTTTCCTTTCAAAGACATTTGAATATATATTTCATGTGCCGATTTTTTTTTTGCAGAAAGATTTTGGTAATAAGTAAATACCCATGAATCCACCATCCAGCATTAATTGATACCAACATTTTGTCACTTTTGCTGCAGCTGTTTTCTTTAAAAAGATAGACCGGAAGGGAGAAGGAAGACATAAAGCAAACTTAGGTCTAGGGTCCTTTGATTCTTTCTCCAGACTTACTTTCTCTCCCCCACTTCCTTCCCTCCCTACTGTAATTAAATCAAAAGATCTCTTTATCTTTCCTGTGTGTAACCTAAAGTTGTAATACGCATGTCCATAAGCATTGTTGTTTTTGGTGTATTCTTCTAAGTGTTCTACAGGCACTGGGGTGGGACATACCTGAAACCACGTGGGAAACTGCCAGCATATTTATTTCAGTGTGGTTTATGGCAGTGGAAAGATGGTGCTAAAGGGAGATAGGAGGCAATCATAAAGGCATTGGTGTGCTAAGGCATTGAAGTTGGGTTTTAAAAGCTGTTGGGGAGCCATTGAAGGGCAAAATCTTTTACTCAGGTTTGAATTACAGGCTAATTAATCACTTCAGCCCTGTGAAGAGTGACTGGTAGAGCGCAGGGCACTGGTTAAGAAGTTGCTGTAGTCAACTTGGTAAGAGAAGGTGGAGCCTGAGATAAGTCATTTGTGGTAAAGTGGAGAAGAAAGTTCTGGTAGAAAAATTAGAAAAGAGATAGGGTCTTAATTGGGAGCAGGCTAGTTGAGATGTAGTGACTGAAAGTAGAGGGAGAAACATTAGTATAATTCTCAGTTTTGGGGCAAGGGGACAGCTGATGGGGGACATGAAGTTTAGAGAAAGATGATAAATTTATTTTGTAGTATATTGTGTCTGAGGTTCCATTTAGACAGTCTGAGTATTTCATAGCAGTAAGTTGGGTCACGATTGTGGAAGGAATAGTTTGGGTTGGGCATAAAGATTTGCAGGCTACTGATACTGCCTGGGAACAGAGTTTAAAAAACAAACAAACAAACCAGGGCCCTCCCTGGTGGTGCAGCAGGTTAAAGCACAACACTGAAAAACTAAAAGCACTAAGAAGCCACTTCTGCATGAGTTCGATCCCCGCCCCACCCGGGAGGTGACCACATGGCCCGGCAGACCTCTCCTGACCGTCCACTGCTCCCCTCAGCAGTGTACTTCATCGATCTGCCTGCCCTGCTCCTCGCTCTGTCTCTGGTGACTTCTCACCCAGTTCTGTAAGCATAAATAAAATAAATCTTAAAAAAAGAAAACTAGCAACAAAAAAGTGAAAAACCAGATCAAGCCTGGAAGCTTTGGTTATATTTAAATTTCAGGAGCTAGCAGAGAAAAGTGAGCCCATGAAGAGTTCTGAGGAAGGGAGATCAGAGAATCAGAGAAAACCAGGAAGACTAGTGCTTAGAAAGTGAAGAGATAGCTTTAAGAAGGAATGAGTGGTTAGTGATGTTGGCAGTCCAGAAAGGACAAGTGAGATAAGAATAGGAAAATTCTGTGGGTTCAATAGTTAGAGGTCATTAGTGACTTTTGCCTGAGTGATTTCAGTAAAGTGATTTGGGCAGATGCCAGAATGCAGCCATTTAAGAATGGGAAGAGAGCAGGGAGGTGTGAGAAAAGTTGGCTGTAAATAGAAGACAAGAAAGAATTGAACCAGAGTAGGATAATTTTGTTAGTTTGCTTTTGTTTTGTAAAGATTGGGGACTAGGGAGGAGGGGTGACTTTGAACCTTCTTTTGATAGGACCAAGCCTAGAGGCAAAGAGTGAAGACAGAAGAGAGGGATCAGATAGTTGGGGCAAAGTCTCTGGTGAGGATGGAAGAGTACACAGTGTAGAACAGATGGGTGTTTCTCTTTCTCATTTTCCGCTCTCTCTCACTGTGTGTTTGTTTATATACATTGTAAAGCTTACAGTTAATGCTCATGCCTTTGACTGTTAGGTTGGTCTAATAAACTTCTCTCTCTCCTTTTTTAAAAGCAGTCTCTTTCTTTTTCTCTAAACAGTAGTCCCAAATGAAATTTGACTTGTGGGTTACATTCCAAGCAGTCTGTGAGCTCTGTTCATCAGATGGATAGATCCCATCTTACTTGTCGACCCACTGGACAGATAGAAAATTTATAATAGGACTGATCACTGTTGTGCTTCTGATTTGATATGCCACTGGCAGCCACAGCAAGTTTATTTTAGCTTTTTTTTATTTTTATTTTTAGTTTTCCTGTTTTTATTTAACTGAAGCATTAGCAGAATCCTAATTTAAAATTCAGAATGCATATGGATTCTTCTGAGTATTGGGCATCAGAGGGTATATTATGTGTAATCAGGTTTTATTTTGGGTTGTTTTTCCTCACCCTTTCCTTGGGTTTTCAGATGAATTAATCCAACAGTTTGTGGTATGGAAAAACAAGGATGGGAAGAGAGTCGAAATAGACAGAATGAAGTTAAAATTAGAAAACCAAGTGTTCCAGGTGAAAGTGGTTGGTAAGAGACTGTTTGGAAGTGGGGAAGTCTGTTGGAATGAATTCAAGGACTGGATTCAAGTAAGACTTGGTCAGCAAGTAGGAGACCTTAAGATACTAGTTTTTGAGCAAGCTTGACAAGGGTCCTATTTTTGGAGATAGGAAAATAAAGTGTGTCCTCTGGGGGAAGATCAGGTTGCCCCTAGTCATTCATAATTACATTTTTATTTTTGTTCAAATACTTTGTATTTGAGTATTCTTATTGGCTGATAGTTGAAAATGTGGAGTGAAGGGAGGAAAGGCAGCAAAAGGAAATTATCTACATTTGGGAAAAAGTTATAATTAAAGAATAAAGAGAACCAGAATGGCTTAGTTTCACAGAAAGTGGGACTATGCTAAATTGAGAATCCTAGGATAACTCATTGAAAGTAATCATTTATGATTTGCCCAGGGGATATGCCTTTACAGTTGGAATGTAAAAGTTTAAGTTGTGGCATCATGGTTTATCTGCATTAATGGGAGCTTAAATCTTCAGGATGTTGGCCTCAGCTCCCATCTGGGAGATATTTTGCAAGTTATTTAACATTTCTTCAGTGGGCTGCTTTGTGGATGAAAGGAAAGTAAGTATCTAACTTTGCTAAGTCACTGCTCAGTGGCTGATAGTTATATGAGTGTGAGTTGTCATCTACCAGGCCATCTTGGAAGTTTGAGTTTTGATAGTGAGGAGATTTCTCTGGTAACACTGTGATAATTTCATAAATATTAAGGCTAAAGCTAAGATTCCCCCCTGAATAGAAGTAGTTCAATTTGAATTGGATCCTTTTATATTGCTGTAAGCTTAATTATAATTTTTCAGATATGTTCCTTGGAAGATTTTACACATCAGAATAACAGGTGAATTATAGGGTCTGTTCTGGAGACAAGTAGATTTTGGAGGTAGCTACAGTATCCAATAAAGAATTGAAAAGGTCTTTTGTATATCAGTTTATATGAAAGAGTCCAGAATAGGCATATTTATAGAGATACAGTACATCAAAGGTAGTGAGAGCCTAGGAGGAGGAAGACGTAAAGGGGTTGTCTATGTATGACTATAGAATTTTAGTAATGACTATCCTGGTACTAGATAGTAGTGATATTTGTGCAACATTCGAATACTAAAAAAATCACTGAACTGTGTACATTTTCAAAAATGATTTATTTATTTATGCATACAAAACCTAGGGTACAGGCTAGAAGTATGGGGATGAGAGGATTCACTAGAGACAGAGTTGGAAACAGAACAGGAAGATTGACTGAAATCCATTGCTGAGGGAAGCAGCAGGGAAACAGGAGAGGTCTGCTGCACCATGTAGGTTAGCTCCCTGGCTGGGGAATGCAACTCATGCTCCAGTGGCTACTGGTAACTTCATAGTGCTGCGCTTTACCCTTATGCCACCAGGGAGGCCCTGAACTATGTACTTTTAAGCATTTGATAATATATGAATTACACTGCACTGTTTAAAAAAGATTTATTTTCATTTACTTACGTGTATGAGAACTGAGGTCTAGGCCAGAGATGGGGAGAGAGGTGTCAGAGGATTCACCACAGACAGGGTGGGAGCAGAATGGCAGATCTACTGAAATACACTTGAGGGGAGCAGTGGGCAAGAAAGGAGAGGTCTAATACACCGCGTGGGTTAGCTCGAATTCATGTTGCAGTGGCTGGTGATAGTTTGATAGTGTTGAGACTTAACACCTTGTGCCACCAGGGATGCCCTAAACATATTGCAATTTAAAGAGAGAGATATGAAGGATTACTGAAACAAGTAGTAACAATGAGAATAAGGAAAGCTAAGATGGGTTTGAGATAAATTCAATGGAAGAGAATTGATTGTACTTGGAGATTGAATATTGGTAACACCCAAGATGAGAGAGATTGGTTTTCATGTTTCTAATGTATATGATTGAATTGATAGTGAAAAAAAATTGGAAAAAACAATTTTGGAGAGATAAATACTGAATTGTAGTAAGTGTTTTCAATGTGTAATCAAGGTAGATAGCTAAAGGTAAAGGCAGAGATTTCAGGAGAGCCTCTAGAACTCGAGAAAGACATGAAGCTGACTGAAAAAAATCAGTCAGACTTTACTATAGATGGTATCTTGGCCCTTTCACCCCCTTTGAAAGGTAACCTCCCTTTCATTCCTTATCTTCAAGGCTGGTGTAGAAATGGTAGTGGTGGTTGTTTTAATAAAGCTAAATCTTTGTATTAACGTTTCAGGCAGAGGCAAGGCTAGCCGCAAAACGGGCTGCTCGGGCAGAAGCAAGAGATATACGCATGAGAGAACTGGAACGACAACAAAAAGAGGTAATTTTGTGCTCATTTCAAAATATCGATTCTTGACTAGTTTACATGTGAAATTAATCTAGTTTCCTTTGAAACTAGTACAAAGTGATGTGTATATTTTAGTAACCCACTCTGATAGTAAATTAAATACATTTGTTTGAAATAACAGCAAATATAGCTCTTATGGTTAAAGTGTTTTAAGTGCTTTACCTATTTTAGTGAAGATAGACTTAAAAACACTAACATAATTTACAACAGTCTTGAGTATCTTTGAATTTGGATTCATTATGTTATATGTACATAATAAAGCAATGTGAAGTCATTAAATCATAATTTTTAAGCATATTTAATAGTGTAGAAAAATGTTCATAGAAAAAACCCTGTAAGACTGGTAGGCTTCCAATTGTGTGTTACAAAAACCTGTATCCATATATAAGATCAAAAATCACTAGAAGTGATTACTATCTCTACTTCAATATGTCTGTACAGAATTATGATTGGCTTTATTTTCTTATGGCTTTCTACAATTTATAATTCCAATATGTTTTGTCATCAGAAAGAAAAGCATGCACTTTTTAGCTTGAAATGACAATGTTACATGTATTCTGTGATTATAACACTTTTATACTCTGAAAATCACTGTATATAGAGTCAGTTATTAACTAAACTTCTTTTTGTGGTTCTTTAAGCTATTTATAGAACCATGTGTCTTTTTATCCTTGAACATATTTAGCTTAGTAATTTTTTGTATTTTGCATGTTACTTTCTTTGAGTTAACAATCATTTCCTTCAGGGTAAATATACAGGGTTGATTTAATTCTTTTTGACAGATGCAGCATGTTGAAACCTATTCAGTTTATGAAACTTTTGTATTTGTAGCACTCTCATCATTCCTTTGATCGAAAATGGGGACAGATTCATAAGTGGCTGGTAGGCTAGGATTGCCTGTCCTGCATGTTGTGATGACTTGCTGAAATAATGCAATCTTGAATAAAACATTGACTAATAGTTTGCAAAGCAGGAGTGTTTGGCATGTTTGAACCTAAAGGTCAGAGTGTCACCTCTGTCTATCATGGACCAAATGTGAACTTGAAATCCTGCCGTATTCCGTTGTTGTCTGCAGCCTCACATGTCTCGTGAGTGTTCCTACCAAGAAAGATTGAGTAAATGAATGTGTTTTCTGTCTACGTTAAATTTCCCCCTCAGTTCCCGCCTTTGCTCCTCCCCCCACATCCCTACCTTCCTTCCTCTCCTTTCTCTATCTTTTTAAAACTTAAGGTAGTATTAAAAAACAAAAACAAAACTTAAGTCAGTAGGGTCTTCATAGAGAGATGATCCACGTCACTCTTTCATCTCTACTGATAATTACTCTTATTTTTCAATTCTCTCAGTTCTTTTCAGGTCTTTTCTTTTTTATTTTAAAGATTTATTTATTTATGCATACAGAACTGGGGTACAGGCTAGAGGTGCTGCTGGGGCAGTGACAGTATTCACCAAAGACAGAGTGGGGAGCAGAACAGGCAGATAACAAAGTATACTGCTGAAGGGAGCAGTGGGAGAGATAGGAGAGGTCTGCCACGCCATATGGGTCCCCTCCCTGCTGGGGGGTTGAACTTGTGCTGAAGCAGCTGCAGCTAGCTTCGAAATGCTGTGGTTTACCCATTGAGCCAACAGGAAGGGCCCTCTTTTTCAGGTCTTTTACCACCACCCATATTTGTTAAATGCAAGAGCAAGTTGTGAACCAGCAGAATATTGTAAATAATTTCTAAATTTGAAAATTTTAGTCTTAAGCTCCCCAACTGTTTACTATTACATTTTTTCCTAACTTGGTATGTGAATGGTTTGAGGTATGGAGTATGAAGTCTTAAATTCTCATATCGAATAGGTATTTTTATCATCTGAGGAGTCTGATCTCTGAACGATCTAATTGTTGCAAAACTGTTTTCTCAAGCAAATCCCTACTGTATTGGTATTTTAAGGTACAACCAGGATTAGGCTATTTATAATGGTAATAATCTATCAGTTTAAAATGTTACCATAATTCTTATTGTGATAACATTTTAGAAAAGACAAAAGATTTTTGGTTCTTTAAAATTAAGTGACTTAGGCCCTCCCTGGTGGCGCAGCGGGTTAAAGCACAGCATTGAGAATCTGAAGCCACTTCCGCATGAGTTCAATTCCCGCCTGCCTCCTGCCCCGGAGGAGACCACATGGTGAGCCAGACCTCTCCTGGCCCGCCTGCTGCTTCCCTCAGCAGTGTACTAGGTAGATCTGCCTGTTCTGCTCCCCACTCTGTCTTTGGTGAAAACCTCTCACCGGCCCCTGAGCCTCTGGCCTGTACCCCAGTTCTGTATGCACAAATAAATAATAAATTAAATCTTTAAAAAAAAAATTAAGTGACTTAATTGTATGTGCTTGTTACTTCAAAGCAGAACCTGTTTTTTCTTGCTGCTAAAACTAGCCTGATTTTTTTACTTAAACTGTTTCTGCATGTAACTGGGTTAATATTACTGATGATACATTCACTCTTTCATGTAAATAAAAGGAATCACATTTTAGGGATAAATTTTCAATCAAATTAGTCAGTCTAATTAGATTGACTTTTAAAAATTATGTATTATAATTCAAAGATAAAATTAATTAAGAAAAGCCTATTTTGAGTGCCAGTATTTTTTTTTATCTATGTGAAATGTGTACAGTTCAGGTAGTATGTATGCTGTATTTTCATGGAGGAGGAACAATTTAGGTTAAAATGCAGCTGGCAGCTAATATCCACTTTCTGGATATGCATAGAAAGTGGGGTTTTGTTTAATTAGGAATAGTTACCGCTTTTATCCTCTCAAAATACTAGCTTTTAATCCTTTCAAAATGATTCTTCCTCTCATTTACCTGCAACTTTCTGTTTGTTAGCCTATAGTAGAAGTTGGCATATGATAGTCCCAATATAAAATTAAATTACTAATAAATTTTAATAAACAGTGCATGCACAAGAATAGGATTGCGAGTTATCAGTAAGACCTTCCCGTATGAAAAATTTCTCCTAATTGTAGTCCTTTCTTTGTGTGGGGCTGGGAAATAAGGAAAAGCAAGGGTATGCAGCACAGGCATGAAACTAACATTGAGTGTGTTCTACATGCCAACACTGTGCTAGTGTTTTTGCATGTTTTCATTTCACTGTTATAAGACAAGTATCAGTGTCTCCATTTTATAGATAAGATGACAAAGAATCAGTGAATGCTCTGCTAATGAACTGGAAGATGAAAGGATCAGAAAGAAAAGAACCGTGTTCTTTCTGGGGCTCCAGATAGTCCCTTTTAGCTAACTTTCCATGACCCCAGAAGTCCTGATTTTAAAGTAGATGTCTTAAGTAGTAATGTTTTGGTGACCTAAAGAGTAAATATAGTTTCTGAAGTTATCTAATTTGAAACTGAGGGAGTGACTTCAGCCTTAACTTAATAAAATATTGGTTGACTCTTAGAAAATGGCCAGGTTTTTTCATGGAGTTATGGATTTTTTTTTTAAAGATTTATTTATGCATACAGAGCTGGGGTACAGGCCAGAGGCGCAGGGGCAGTGAGAGGATTCACCAGAGACACAGTGAGGAGCAGAACAGGCTGGCTGACAAAATACACTGCTGAGGGGAGCAGCGGACTGGTCAGGAGAAGTCTGCTGCACCACCTCTGGGGTGGGTGGGGATTGAACTCATGCTGAAGTGGCTTTAGCTTCTCAGGTCTGTGCTTTAACCCGCTGCGCCACCAGGGAGGGCCTAGTTATGGATTTTTTAAATAAACCTACTTCATCTTCACTTAAAGTGAGATTCTAAAAGCAGAGTATGTTTCATTTCCATTGATTCAATTTAAATGTTCTAAAACATAAAAGGTTCCAGAAAGTTTTGAACAAACATGCATCCATTCTCTAAGAAATTGCTCTGTTTCTTCAGACTTGAATTCTTTATACTGTTAAGGATGTCCAGGAAAACGGAAATGTATTGTTTTCCTAACTGTGGAAGGGAGAAATTAAATATTGGACATTGAATAATGCTGATACTTATAAACAAGCTTTGTAAAAGATTTGATCAAATACACCATTATATACAACAGATGAATTGTAATTATATATTTCTAATCAATGATTATGACCAAAATAAAGCATTAAGTAGTAATGTTCTGTTTATATATTACTGTTTATATATTTGAAATTGTTGGTCAGATTAGATAATTGAAGTTATCTAATTTGAAACTGAGGGAGTGACTTCAGCCTTAATTTAATAAAATATTGGTTGACTCTTAGAAAATGGCCAGGTTTTTTCATGGAGTTACGGATTTTTTTTTTTTTTAAAGATTTTTATTCATGCATACAGAGCTGGGGTACAGGCCAGAGGTGCAGGGGCCACAAATGGCCACATCCATTTGTCCACCCATATAACGGTCACATTATCCTGACATAGGTTATTGAGGAGTTGATTTATTTTGGAAAAGAGTGCTGTGAACTCAGTTGGATAGTTGTGTCTAAAAGCTTAGTCCATGCAAGTTACTTTAACACTTTGGACTTTAAAAGATCGAAAGTTGTTTTTTTTTTTATTTACTGTTTCAGTTGATTAGGTTTTAGGGACTGGTCATTTCATATGACTCAGCACTTAATGCTCCAGTGCTAATAGCTGACGTGGAAAAGTTTAGAATTGCATTTCATTTTGTCAACTATTAGGATGTGGTCATTTCTTTTTCTCAGAAATCTTCATAAAGCAGATCTTGAGATCACTTTACTAACTATAACATATTTATCCATTTTCTTCTAATTATATGTAGTTTTTCATGTTAACCACACAATCAGGGGTTATTTCATTTAGTTCTACTCTCCTCCCTCCCCCTCCCCCATTAGAGTGGCTAAAAAAAAGTTAACATTTATTTCTGCATTGCATAAACCAAGATTCACAGTGAAAAAAATAGATAAAATGCTACTTTTTAATGCTGAACTCAATTTGTTTGTTAAGTATACTTGTTTATTCTAATAGGGTGAGCTCTCTTAGTCATACAAAGATTACATTCTGCAAGTAGTCAGACACATGTGCAATGTTAAACTGATAATATTGCCAAGATTTCTACTTTCTTATAACTGGAGCATGTGGCTGCCCCAGATTTCTTGTATGGAGTCAAATTGTGGTCACTGCTTGTAAGGAAGGTGCTACTATGCTCTTTAAGTGACTGTTCTTTGCTCATTTGTTCTGATAAAAAACCCTTTGTTCAGTGATTAACTCTCCATTCACTTTCTCCTTCCCAGGAAGATTCAGAAAGGGCTAGGTATTCCCACCGGTCCAGTCATCATCGTCCTTATCTGGTTTGTAATAATCTGTGAACTTGCTCGTGATAATTTTCCTTCATTAACTTTATGCAGTCACTCATACACTTTTACTTCATTTGTTTTCATTTTTATCAGGGAGTTGAGGATGCATTGTCCATTCGAAGTCTTGGCAGTCACAGGGTTGGTATTTCTGGTTGTTTGGACTATGCTTACATATGAATATTTTGTTTAATCATTGCCTAACAGTCTGACAGTGTTCACATACTCTTTTGCCTTTTAAAAATAAATAATAAGCACAAAATGATGTAAAAATAAACTATTATTAAAAAAATAAACAGTGAATAAAAAAATTAGAAAAAAATAGTGAATATTGGCAAAGTATTTTCATGCTTCCAAATTTTTGCTCTAAGCAAATCAATTCTAAAATCTGTGTATCTATTGTTACATTAAAAAAAAACTAAAAAAAAAACTTTAACTCTGCCAATTATCACAAAATAATGAGATTGATTTTATAGTATAAAATATGCTTTGTTTAACCTTTAGATTTTTTTACTTTCATATTATTAAAAATGACAGTTTATTAAATGGAAAATAGCTTTGGGTTTGGTGATTAAATATAATTTTATAATGGAAAAACAAAGCTGCTAACTTGAAAAATTTCTTACTTGTAGGAATTGTCATGCTTCAACATTTTGCTTAACATTTTAGTGTGTCTAGGGATTTTTAGCATACATTGCTGTAATCTACATAAATCAGGAGGTCACTCATTAATGTTTGAACATTAGCAATATCTAATGAATTTATGATTTTGTGATGCCTTCTTATGACTTTGATCTTTCCTTTTGTCAGTTTAACTTTCAGGTGATACCTTCTTGAAAGGTGACCTGCTGGAAGCTATGTGGGCTACAAGTGATGTTAGTGCTATAGACTTTGCATAAAAACAAAAGGCAAAGATAGTTCAAGACTGGGAATGGTAGGTTTGGGAGAAGGAGGATCAAATCAAAGCCATAATCTCTGATCTTAGAATGACAATCTTTCAAATGTTATGGCAGTGCTATATGTAATGATATAGAGGAAGACTTAGGTAGGCATTCAAAATTAGAAAACGATTTTGAATAGGAGTAGTAGGAATACATTGCTGTTCTACTTTGGTGGAGATTTTTACTGGTGTATATATCATTTCCTATTAACAATACCCTTACAATCATTTTAATGAATTTAGTTTTAAAATTAATTTAATTTTAATATGCTTGCAATTTTTGTTTTGTCATTTGCTATTACACGGCCTAATTCCATTGAAGATTCCATCGAAGGACATAACTGGGGCACACTGGAGCAGAGCCAGTACTCCCAAAAAGAAAGACGTCATGGTGTGTAGCCCATGTGCTGTGCTAGTATTGTGCATTCACTGTTGACTTTCAGAGTTCCAGGGACTTGAGTAATAGGTACATTCTAATAGAAATTGACACTCCCTGAACTTGTTTCCACAACCTCTTTGCTGTGTTCTCTAAAAATTTTGTTTCCAAGTGAAAACCTTCAGGCAAGTTTCTTTCTTTCTTTCTTTCTTTTTTAATATTTATTTATTTATGCATACAGAACCGGGGTACAGGCCAGATGTGCAGGGGCTGTGAGAAGATTCACCAGAGACAGAGTGGGGTTCAGAACAGGTTGACTGACGAAGTACACTGTTGAGGGGAGCAGCGGGCGGGCTAGGAGAGGTTTGCCGTGCTATGTGGTCAACTCGGGAACAGGGGGGGATTGAACTCATGCTGAAGTGACTTTAGCTTCTTAGTGCTGTGCTTCTTACCTGCTGCGCCACCAGGGAGGGCCCCTCAGGCCAAGTTTCTTGGAGAATTAATTCACTATTTTTTGATTGGTTGTAATAGCAGATTTGAAAATGTTTCAGATGAAAACCCTTAATATTTTCAGTTCTCCCTCCTTTAATGGCTCATTTGTTTTTAAATAGCAGAGATACTAACTATTACATATGGGGGGAAATGAAGGTGTCTGTGATTCTTGTGATTCTTTTTGTTTGCCTAGCAGTTCTAATAGCAATGGAAATTTCCAAATCATATGGATTCCCCAGCAATCGTTTAAAATTCAGCTAAATTCTGCAAAAGGAAACTTGAAATAGGTCTATTTCAGTTGAGTTGTTAAATCCTATGCCTTTGTAAAATTCACTGGTATTACAGATAAGATAGCAGGAATTAAGACAAGACTATTCAATAACATGAACTTATTTGACTGGAAGACTGGAATAGTTTATATGCTAGAATGTGTGACTTGAGTAATACAAGTTTTGGTCATTTTTTTTTTAACAAGATACTTTGTTGAATGGGAAAATGAGCAAATTAAATTTCTATAGACTAAGACTTTATTGTCAGGGAACTGTCACTCACCATACAATGACATTTTATCATTGTACCTCACTTACCAATGCACACCGTTAGGCATTTTAGACAAACAAGATTTTTTTATGCACGTAACACTGTTTTGCTTTTTTTTTTTCTGTTAATTTCAGACTAATACAAGCATGCACGTGCAGACATCTTACTCCAAAACATTTTGATATTTATTAAAATATCATTGTCACTGAATTTATGCTAGTGATAGAATTGTACCCCTTAGTCTTATAAAATTATTGGGAGTTTCTGCAATAACTTTTATAATTGACCATCTCATCAGGCATGAAATAAAGGCCTTTGTTCTGTCTGAACTATGATTTTAATGTTATATTAGAGCTAGACTATCTAACTCGGTCTTTTAGTTTACTTTGTGTTTGTAAAAATTGTGATCACTACAAAAATTCATTTTTACACCACGATGCAGTATACATTTGCAGACATGTGCCTATGTATCTGTCATATGGATATTTAAATATATTATTGAATGAAAGTTTCACAGAATAATATTACTGTGCATGTTATACTCTAATTATTTTCTATGTCATTTTTTTAAAATGCTGGTTGAAATCATAAACTGATTTCATGAAAACTAGTAAATTGCAACCTTAACTTAGAAAACCATTATTTTAGATGAAATTTTTGAATAGTGTTCCCTAAAGTTCAAAATGGGTATAAGAGTTGAAAAAGAAGGATATTTTACCAGACTACCTGCTTTTGATTGTTTTAAATGTTGTGCTTCTGAATAAGGTTGCTTTAAAAAGCTATAGAACTGGGGTACAGGCCAGAGGTGCAGGGATGGTGAGAGTAGTCACCAGAGACAGAGTGAGGAGCAGAACAGGCCAACTGACGAAGTACACTCCTGAGGGGAGCAGTGGGCGGGTCAAGAGAGATCTGCTGCACCATGTGGGTCACCTCTAGGGCCGGGATCAAACTCATGCTGAAGTGGCTTTAGCTTCTTAGTGTTGTGCTTTAACCTGCTGTGCCACCAGGGAGGGCCCTGGTTTAATAAATTTTATAGTTTTTATTTACATTTAAGGCCAAACCTATGATTCCCATGCTTTTGCTCTGACAAAGTTTCTAGTTTTGTTCAGCATTTTTAATAAGAAAAGTTCTTGGGGAAGGAAGTTTTTCATGTGTGTACATGAACAAATCCAAGGGACCACCCCCATTTTGATGTTGCAATTTTTTTTCCCTAAATGGGAAGCTTGATTTTTTTTTTTTGTAAGCTTGATTATATTAGTCATTCATTGCCTGTCCACGTGTTGCCTTTGCCATGTTTCAGATGATGGGACATGATGGTAAAAATCAAAATCAATGTCTTTGACTCAGAGTGCTTAAAACTTCTGCACTCAAAGGCTTCCTTAGTGTATTTTGTGCTGTCATATATTGAGATTGGATCATTTTATCATTACGAATAATGATTTCATATTTAAAAGAGAACATGCAACTTTATACATATATACAATTTAGTAATAACATAGTAGGAAGGAGTAGTGGAAAGAATAGACTTTAATTCTAGTAGTAGCAGCCTTGTGTATAATAGTTTTGGGGGTTTTGTTTTTAATAGTACTAAAATTTTAACTTTACGAATGTTATTTTTTTCCTCTTTTCTGATTTTGGAAATACAACCAACTTTCACCTTTTTCTGAAATCCAGTATGATGCGCTCAAGGATAAATCTTCAAGACTTTCATCATTAGTATGTAGTGCATGATTTTGTGTTAATTGTAGAGTTTTACTTTATGAACACTGATGCTTAACCATGGATTAGTACTAACTGTTCCAGGTGTTGATATTTTAGGAACATGCTAACAAAGCATCCTATTGTTTAAAAATCAATCTTTTGATATTTTTTCTTTGATAAAAATTATTTTCTTCTCTATTCAGGTTTAAGATTGTTAATAATACCTTTTCTTGAAATGATGAGCCACACACCTGATACACATTCATTGCCCTGGAAGACATGTCTTAGCAGTAGTGAGCAGTACTGTGATACACACTAAATACAGTAGTTCAGACCTAACTGTGGTTCATGTTATGTGCCACAAGCTAGCAGGTGTGAAATTATTAAGCAGGAAACACCCCAGCGGTGACAAATGACACCTGAAACATCAGTTATATCCACACATATTTGTACTTAATTTGACTTGTTTTTAAAGGTGTATCTTTTTAGCCAAGGAAATTAAGGCATCTTTTTCTTGGTTTGATATTATGCCTATAAATTGCCTGAATTTCTAGGCTGTTGAAAGGAAAGATTATGTGTATCAAAAAAATAAAGATGATTTTAATCATTGGTTTGATTGTTTGCTAGCTATCTATAAGTCAGTAGTTTTGCCTGGAGCAGATTGTGATGGGTAGGGCACTTCCAGCCTTACCTGCTCACTTCAGGCAGGGAGTGCATGTGTAGATTGGATTTCTTGTTTACGAGTTTACCTATTTAGTAGTATCGCTGTTCTTTACCCCCTCATATGTTCATGACTGTATACTTTTAGAAGTTATGTATTGAGACAGTACCATCCTAAAGAACTGGTATGTAAGGCTATCTAATAATGCTATTGCTATAGGGGCAACCCACACCGCCTTGGCTGTTTGCCTCCTAACCAACACATGTTGGAGGAACACTAACTGGGGTAAAAAGTCTGCCTGGCGTAATGCAGTGTCATAGACTTTAATCTCTCACCATTGTTATGGTTGATTTAAAGGATTGCATTTGGCTTGTTTTTGTTAGAAGAGGAAGACTGTAGAAGGAGGTGGACTCTCATCTCCCATACTTCTATAGAGAAGATAGAAGGAATCAAATGAAGTATGGGATCAAAATCTCCACAAATATCTTCCCTGCCACTGGCTTCTAATTAAATTTTCTTTTTAGCTTACTGGACACTGAGCTGGATGATGGCACAGGGGACAATGAGGGAGAATGCAGGTGTATAAAGAAGCCACCTATCTTAGCCAATGAAGTGCAATTACTCATTTATTACCAAATGAGAAATAGATTGCATGTAGACTATCTCATGTGTGCTTTTCTGTGTGTGACTTTAAGGTTAATTTTATTAAGTTATTTTTAAAACTTTGTGATCATAAAGTTAACTTCAAATATTTACTTCCAGAATCATTCTTACAGTCACTCTTATGGAACAAAGAAGAGATCATCTGGTTCTCATAAAGACCCACTGGTTAGTTCTGTTGTGTATTCCAGTATCTTGTGCTGCTTTGAAATTCAGTGGGTTACTTATAGGGAATTAAGGATTATTATTGTTTTGGTGTGCTCCTAAGGCATTTTTGACACGTGGTAGTACACAAAGATAAGATTTATCAGAACCTTACTGAAAAAGAATTTTATTTCATTTTCATGACTTAATATCAAATTAATGTATGCCAAACCCTGGGCTAGAATTAGAGAAGTGTGACAAGAAGTTCATTAACAATGTAATTTCATTTATTGTTTGTTCTTTTGAATATACTCCAAGAATAGGGTTAATGACATTCTTATTGTAGACATTTATGTTGGTTTAGTTGTGGGAGTATAGATAATATCAAACTCACAAGTAGGTTTCATTGTGAATATTTGTAATAGGTCAGATTTTAGGAACTTGGAAAGAATTTTGTTGCAGAAACAAAGTATATGATGGCAGAGTTCCCATGCTCTCTTGCAGAAAACTCTTTAACTTACCATGTGATTAAGCTGCAGAACCAGTAGTTATCTCCATTCCAGCCACCTTACTACTAAGCAGCATTTCCATGGAGAAATATGCTGCCAGGAACACCCTTTCCTCTTGGACTGCCACTGGGCTGGCAGGGGAAGTGTAGTCCCAAACTCCCTGTTCACTCAGGGTCCCCATGGGAGGAACTCTGAACTTTGCTGGAATGGGGAGAGTGTCAGGGAGTGGGAGTCCTGATGGGAAGGTGGAGGGAGGAGAGAAAGTGTTGTGGAGGACTTTAGTGAGAGGCCCTAGAGTGTGGAGTGTTCAGAGTTCTGGGGATAGTGAGTCAGGGTGCCTTAAGGATATGGTAAAGGAAGGCAGGGCCTGGAGTGGCAGGAATGGGATGGGAATAGGGATGTCTCCTATTGTGGTATCAGTAGTGGAGGAGTCTTTCAGTCAAGGATTACTAAGTTTCTTTAACTTTGACTAAGAAAGATGATGGAAGAAGTTATAAAGGGAATTTTACAAATGATTTTCTCCACTACAAGTAATGATAATGTATAAAATTATTGTTTTGTGCCATATATTAAAATGAATCTGCAGTATTCATGCTCACTCTATGATCATTTCATATGATCAGCTTAATTTCACAAGTAATACTAAGAGAAGTTTGGGGAAAAAATGACAATAATTTCTTTGCCAGTGCCAAATGAATTATAAAGGTGAAAATTATTCAGTTGTCCTGGATTTTTAAAGAAAATTCCTAAGTATGACTTGACATATACCACATATTATTTTCATTCCATTTGACTAACAGTTTATACTTTTGTTTTTAAAATAAAATTAGTAATGACTTGGTTTCAGAACAGCTAGCCTTTTGTCTTATGTGGCAACTTAAAGTGGTTGTTGTTTTAACTTTTACTTAATATGATTCATTGCCTTTAAAGAGGAGTTTGGCAGTCCCTAAGAAAAATGTGTTTAATTTTGCTTTTTGCAGAGTGGCCTCTACTTTGACCAGAGAAACTATAGCAGTCTTAGACATAGCAAACCTACCTATGCCTACTACACTCGGGTTTGTCTAAAGATTTTTGGCTTCATGTTTCATCCACAGTTAACACATTTCTAATCCTCTGTTTTGTATTTTGAGTAGTTTGAACTGTGAATAGCTGTGTTATATTACCAGTTTGTAGCAACTGCATTCATACAGTCTTTGTGAGCATCTTTTAACAGTGGCAACCATTGAATCCCATTTTCCCATAATGCCATTTTTTTCCAAAATGAGAAATTTTTTTCATGAAAGAATTTTAACATACAGAAAAGATCAAAGAATTGTGTAATAAACCACTCACTTAGACTGTACAGTTGGCATTTTATTATATAATTAACTGTTTCTGTAGCCACCTATCCTATCAGTTTGGGCAGGGCAAATGTATGTCAGGATAAGTTGGTAGGTGTCAGCGCACATCATGGTTAATGACCTTTTAATAAAAGCTTACATGTGAAAATCTTTATAAATGAGATGAGATGAATTCAATTGCTTGTTTATTAGTAGAATTGCTTGTTTTTTCCCAAGGCTTTTGACGTATTGTACATTTAAAACACATTAACGATATGGCACATAATACATTTAAGGTGATTCAGTTTTCAAAACCTGTACATATTGCTTAGATATTCTCATTTTCTGTTTGATTGCACTGTCAAGTGATATCAGGAAAATAGAGATGTGATTTTTTAAAGATGCTGTGCCTCCGTAGCACATAGATTCACTGTGACCATTATGGTTTATCTGATTAAACTATAGTACTTTATCCAACACTTCTTTTGATAGGTTTTGTAATCTATTTGAAAAAGAGTGTTGATGATGATAAACTCATAGCTTACTTACTGGGTTTCCCAATAATCAGGCTAAGCCTGTTCAATATTACTCATCAATATTGAAAATATTGCAGGAGCTGCTGGGAACTAGGGAAGAGCCACTGATTTCCACCCCCTGTGCCATGGCCCTTCCCTGTGTATTTTCTTACATTGCTCTTCCATCTCCTAACATTGATGTTTAAAGCCCAGTAGTAACATAAACATATCTATAGAAAGCCACTGGCAGCTGTTTTTCTTTCTTAATCTGTTAAGATTGACATTCAAAAAGATTACTAATGACTAAGCTTTTTCTCACTTTGTGTGCTGCTGAACTACCTTAAGCACTCAGGAACTGCTAATGAATTATGGGAGTATAACAAAAATATAAGCTTTGTTTCATGTGGTGAAACCAAGTCCTCTCCCCCCCTTTTTTTTGGCTTAATTGTTTTGTTTTGTTTTTGTTTCTTAGCAGTCTTCTTCCCTGTACAGTGACCCTATGGCAACATCTAAGAGTCACAGGGTTAGTACTTGCTGAGGTGTGTTTTGCCTTCAGAGTTATCAGCTACTTTTCCTTGGGGTAAATCATGCACTTTTTTCTTAGGCTTCCCCTCCTACAAATTCTGGTCTGTCCAGAAGTGCCAGTCTGGTTTGTATTTTTTCCTTAAAGTGTGTGTGCTCTGGGGCGAGGGTGCATTGTCGTGGTGCTGACTCTGCCTCGATAACTTTTCTTCAAAATTGCCAAGAACACGTGACTCTGATGCCATGTGCACTGCAGAATGTGCTGCCTGTGCTTAAAATACAAAACTTCAGTGCACTTATTAATTAGTGTATAAATTACTTAGTGGATTTGTGGTGTAAAAACTAAAATTCCTTTCCTATAGAAACTGTTAGAGAAGGTAGATTTGCATGGGTCTCCCTACACTTGCTTACTCTTGTGAGATGGCTGCCCATGCACGTGATGTCAGATTTTCCTTTGGGGCAGCTGTGGCTTTGGCCACATTATTTCTAGATTGTAATAAAACTGACTAGAAAGCAAAGACAATCGCTCTGTATAAAGTGTGAGCAGTGAGTTGGTGGCCTCAAGCTGTTGTTTGTTGTGTTGAGGCCTATTCAAATGGACTGGAACCTGAGACTTTGCAACTTAATGTTATTGTGACAGTGGCAAAATACTTTCAGTACCTCACTTTCTTTACTGCTTTATTTACTCTTTCGAGAGAATAACTTCATGTTAGTTATCCTAGGTTGAAAGCATGATGAAAAGAAGCACTATAACCAGTGATGCTTCTTAAATCAAGTGTGAGCTTGAAGTTTTAATGAGATCAATACAGGAATTTTGTAAACAAATGAGTTTAATTCCTTTAGTCTTCCCCTCGGGAGACTGTACACTTACACCATGTTTCAAAACTTTTGAACCAGAATGCTATGAAGAAGTTATGATATTTTCAAAATAACTTTTGATGCTGAATGGTTAAATGGTATTTCCTTTGTTCTTTAGGCATCATTGTATGATGGTGGATTATATAGCCCTTATGATTCTCGAACCGTAAGTCACCAGGGAGCAAGAAGTGAGAAGATAGTGTGTCGGTGGGGACAGTTTACTTATAAAGAAAAAGTTATTTAATCTGACCTGTTGGCCCTGATCCATCAGCTATCCAGTCATGGTTCTCACCCAGGCTGTGAGGTAGTGCCTGCTGGAAATCATGGCTTTAGGTATCCAGGAGATAGAAGTAGAGAAATACCTTTTCTTGTTCCTTTATTCCTCAGCAAATAGTAGAGCAGTGCTTCTCAGCACAACTCCTCCTTTGTTGCGGTTGATGGACCCTGAGGGTGGGAACCCCAGACCTGGGAGTAATAGTTACTTTGCCCTGGGAGCCAGGGATGAGCAAGGTCCGCGGTTACCACTGTACTTCCAGCAGGAAAAGGAGTTGATCATTGTTGTAAAACCTTTCTTCTTGGAAACTCTAGCCATCAGAATACAGTTATTACTCATCAAGAACAAGTTCAGCCCGAAGCAGTCCTGTGGTGAGCTTTCTTATCTGTTTACATGGCATGCTTTATCGGAACTTTTTTGGGTTGTTTTCATTAATCTGTACTCACAGTTTAAAAGATTGAGGATGTGGTGTGTTTCACTCTCTTGTGCATGGATTATGGTTTTGCTTCAGTACACAAACTCAAGTACTAATTTGCCTTAATTGATAGTTTCTTTATGAATCTGACTCAGTATGTAATTTCTTAAATGAGTTTGGAACCAGTGGCATTAGAATTAAAATGTATATATGACATTTGTGTAGAACTTCTTGTCTTTTCAATATTGACAGTTTATTGTGTTTGCTTTGACTGTTCTATATTTTCCCTTTCTGTTTTTGTTCACTGCATTGAGTCCTTGCTAGTGAAGCAGGGCAACTTCTAAAAATCGTTACATAAAAGACCTAATCATTTGTTCTTTCTGAATTATTAGATAAATACTCTTTAATTTATAAAACTGTTATCATTTTAAGCACAGTTCAAAGTGAAAATCCCTTGCCCTTTTCTTCTATATCCATTCCTCAAAGGCAACTTCTTATAGATCCTTTCAGAAATATTTTATACATATATGAATACCTTTTATTTGAACAGTATATCTGTAGATTCATGTTCATATAGTTCTTCAACTTTCTTTTTTCACTTTTTGTATCAGTACATAGTTTATTTTGTTTTTGACATTTCAAAAGATTTTTAAGTTATCAAACATGCCTTTTTCCACAGAATGCCTATTGAGGAGGGCTTCTTTTTAATGGTAGTACATCATTCCATTAATGAATAAACTGTACATTTCAAAAATCACTCCCCTATTGATGAGCACTTAGGGTATCAGATATTTGCTATTACAGACACCTACCTGCACAAGGAATGTTTTTACTCAAGTATATTTTTATGTACTTATGTGAGTAGATTTGCAAGGTAAATTGTTAATTGTGATTTGATGGTGGTCAGATTGTTTATGTTTAAATTATGATGTATTTGCCACGTTCCCCACCAAAAATACTCTACTAATTTACATTTCTAATAGCTAGTGATGACTTTAGGAACCACTTTGTTATTCTCGAAAACATCAAAAGTAGGTAAATTGTTGAGGCAGTTTCTTAATAGTCAACATAGGGCACTTGGTGGAGTAATTAGGTCAGATGTGTTGGCTTTCTTCTACTTATAATTTGTGCAGTCCTCCTGGTATTTTCAAGTGACCCATCATCTCAAGCATTCTAGTAGTTAACAAAACTTTACATATGTATATTTAAGGAGATAATGGCTTTTTCACATACTGAGGAAGTTTACTTTTAACCCACCCAGTAATAAAATTCCTCATGGCAGTTCTTATGCCAGATAGTGTTTTGATTTCCCAAGTATGATGACCCCTTTCAAAAGGAAAATTATTATAATGTACTTTAAATCATTTCACTTAAGTATAGAAACTTGTCCTCTTGTACTAACTAAATCCTGTTTCATTTGCATATTTGGTTCAGAATTATTACATCAGTGATACCTGAATGGTCTCTTAGTGATGTCAGAATGGAGAGATCTGGATGAGTCCTCTACTGCAGGTGAAATAGAAAGAAACCTCTCAGATAATGTTAGAAATATTTCCCCTAGTTACATAGGAACGAATAAAGGAAAATAAGAATTAACATTTCAGTGTCCTTGCTGGTAGGAAATTCTGTCTTTGACTTATATTATTTCACTTTAAAATGTTCTTTTACTTTCCCAAGCTAAAACATTAAGAATATTTATTGGTGCCCTGGTAGGATCCTAAGAAGCCTAAAGACTTAAAAAGCAAAAAATCTTTAACCAGTGGTTAGTTTACTCAGAACTATTTCTTTAACTTAGCTTAAATAAAAGATAAAATGCTACTTAAATTTTTGTGTTTTTTAAAAACTTGATTTTTAATGATATTTCATTGTGCTTTGAAATAACTTTTCTGTTACATAATAAATGGTGCGTGCTATAATGTACATACAGAGTATTTGCATGCTTCCTAAACTTTTATCTGCCTGCTTGCAGTCAGGTGGATCTGTAGTGAAATCACATCCTTTTCTTTATCTTCTTGTAATATCTATAGCTTACCGACAATGACACTGCAAGCATTGCGTCTTCTGGTCATGCCTGTCGTCAGCAGAGGGAGAGCATGGTGAGCGTGGTTCACATGCAGACCGTAAAATGAGTTTCAGAATTGCAACAGATTCATGGCACCTCTTTAAATCTTTTACAAAGTGAAATTTGCATGTGACAAATTGAACATTACCATTTCAAGACCCCTAAACTTTTAAAGAATTTTGTAATGGCAAAATTAAAAAAAAAAATTTGGTCTTAGACTCCAACAAGAGTAATAATTGTAGATGCAACAAATAGCAGTGTTATAATGTAAATTATATAATTTCAGGTTATCCTTGTGATGAAGTTAGAAATTTTTCAGAAAGCCAATGACATTTTTAATATATACAAGAATTGATTCAAAAATTAACATTGGTTAGATGGTATGGCAGCTTAGAGCTAAAATAAAAACCAGATTAGCAAAGAGCCTATAGTTGATTTAAGAAAAATGGGAGGCATTTGATTTGAGTCTTGTTTTATGAAAGATTATAAACCCAAAGTTTTCTGGAGAAGGGGAACACCAGGTGTTTGAGGTTTAGTCATCTGGGGCCTCCCTGGTGGCCTCTCCACATACGGCACAGCAGACCTCTCCTGTCTAGCCCGTTGCGCTCCTCAGCAGCATATTTCAATAGATCCACCTGGTCTGCTCCCCACTCTGTCTCTGGTGAATCCTCTCACCTCCTGCACCTCCAGCCTACATCCCAGTTCTTCTACACATAAACAAATATATAAATCTTTTAAAAATTTTCATCTTCTATTTTAAGGTAGTTATCCATTGTTAAGCCAACTAATGCTAATACTGTAAAGGAGAAAGAACAAACCTTGATATCTGAAAGCCTTGGCAAGTAATGGAGTTTTGAACATGTAAGGGCTTTTAAATGACGATGCCTTGGCTTGAGCCATTCTACAACCTATTAGTTGTGTGAATGACATTTTCTTTATTTGTACAGTATAGATGCTAGTGATTCTGTGTTTAGGCTTATTTATGGATTAAATAAATTTCTTTGTAGGAAATAATTACTAATGTTTTGGTAGGTACCAATGAAATATTATATATATATGTAAATCTAAGTTATATTTCTATTACTGTGAATAAAAATACTAATGCCCTTAGTATAATTTTATTTGTAAGCCTTCTTACCTCTGTGGTTGGGTGCTTAAATTTCCTTCCTGAAAGTGAGTACTTTTTAAGCAAAAAACACAGCTGAGGTAAGGAATAGTATTGGCTGAGGAAAAAACATTCATTTATTTTGTAATATTTATGGAAAACCTGTTATAGACATCATGTTAAAGGGTTCGGAATAATGTGGTAAGCCATACACACCAGATTTCATGGAGCTTATGTCCTAGTAAAGAAAATGGAAAATAAACGGGTAAAGAAACTATCCTAGAAATCCTTCTGTTGAGGGTGATGCATGTCTTAAATGTGTGTGACTTTGCTGGCCCATAGGTAGTAAGTGATCTCTATTACATAGAATGCTAGTTTAGATAAGTAAAAGTTGTTTTAGGGAGCTGCGACTTCATTTGGGAATCCTTTTATATTTCTTGCAGCAGTTTTCCTCATTTCAGGATATGATGATACACAGATACTCAAATATTTCTCCCATTTACTAATGTTCTGATCTGTTTCTGTTCTCTTTATATTTAAAGCATCTCATTTTTTTCTGACTGAAAGGTTTCTGCTGCTGATTATTTCAGTCGCTGCACTCGTAGGGGGAGTATTGTCTCTGAGTTGGATGACGTCAGCATCCCAGATTTGACCAGTGTGAGTGTATTGACTGCATGGGATGGTTGTCTCAGATTTGTGACTAATAACTGCTTTACAATTAAAAACTTAACTTTACTGCCTAGGAGATACTTATTTGAAGACATTAACAAAAATTCAATTATTTGTGTATTTTGGGATGTATGAATTGATAATGTGATTTTTTTTAAAAACTTTTTTTCTGTGGAAATGATCCCCCATGAAACCTAGCAGCAACTTTGCGTTATCAGTGTTTTCCAGTTTGTTTCGTCTATTCCTTTAACTTTCCTAGCTTCTTTTTTCTAAATTATTTTATTGTCATTCTCATAGTATTTGTAGTTTCCCAACAAATAGTTCAGTGTACATCGCTAATTGAGGGTTTTTTTTTTCACTATTATGCCATTATACCTAATGAAGTTAAAAATAATTTTTAAAACTAATAAATGAGTGATCTTAATTTTTTTCTTCCCATTTTGTTTTGTCAAATATCTAAATTTCAAGTAGACTTTGAAGGTTGAATTATAAAAGATACTACTTAGTAAAGTATCACTAATTTTTTGCCTCTGGGAAGAATCCAAATAGATTTTAAACATACAGACTTTGGCATCATTTTGATGAAATATCTATCTATTGCTTTCACATCATTATGAACTGATTTTAGGAAAGATGGTTCAGTGGAGAGGTCTTCAAGGCATTTTTCTTGATGAAGGAACTCCAGCCAGTAGGTATCTTATCTCCTTGATTTTTTCTCTGTGACAACTCCTCTCTGTCACTGGCATTAGTGTTCTGTCCATTGACCAAGTAGCCTGATTATTAAGCACTTAAATGATGAGAGACAGTGTTTATTAACAAAAAGTTAGACTGTTTTTTATGAAGAGATTAATTGCCTATGCTTATTATGTCACTAATTATATGTCAATAGCTATTTCTGAATGACTTCAATCCTAGAAAATATTTCTGAATATGGTCATTAAGTATTTTGGATTTTTGGTTCTCAAACCTGCCTGTGCAACAGTCTGTCATCTTCCCTTGGGCGAGACGAAGAAATCTCTTTGTACTCAGAAGACTAACTTCCAAGTCTTGGCCATCTTACTAACTTGCTTAAGAACCTACTTTTTTTTTTTTTTTTAAAGATTTATTTATTTATTCGTACAGAACTGGGGCACAGGCCAGAGATGTGGCGGGTGAGAGAATTCACCAGAGACAGAGTGGGGTACAGAACAGGCAGATCGACCAAGTACACTGCTGAGGGGAGCAGCGGGCGGGTCAGGAGAGGTCTGCCTCGCCATGTGGATCTCCTCCCGGGCAGGCGGGGATCGAACTCATGCAGAAGTGGCTTTAGCTTCTCAGTGCAGTGCTTTAATTCGCTGCGCCACCAGGGAGGGCCCAAGAACCTACTTTTTAAGTAGATATGGATAGTATGTTTAGTTTATTGTGTACACCTTTTCTTTTAAAAACTTTGACTCCTATTAGCCTCTAATTTGTGAAAGCATTTCCAAATGGGATCCTTGGCCAATCTTGCTTCAGGAGGTTATTAAAATTACCCTTCCCTTTTGTGGTTGGATAATCAGAGCGCCTCTTCTCTTTCTTTTTGTTCCCAGGCTTTTTGAATAGCATTATCAAGTTAGTATATGTAAATTAAAATTTAACAAAGGAGTAGAGTTTCATTACTACAATAAGCAAACTACACTTTAATCTACCTTAGTAGAGTACAACCTTAAACCCTTAAAAAACAATAGAATACCTTTAAGAAAATAGAATAGATTCAGATGCCTTTCTTTACTTTCTGATCACTCATGTCAGACTCACTAATATGGCTGACAAACTGGTTGCTGTCTACTGAATATGACGCTGCATCAGATATGTGTATCTCAGTTATATCCTGTCTCTCTCTGTCCTTTTAAGGGGAAAAATTGATTTAGATCAAAATACTAGAGTTTATTTTTGAACGGCTTTCTTAAATGATGGTAGTATCAACATGCATTCATAACTAAAATGCTGTGCCCATTCAAAAAAAGATTTAGTTGTATTTTATTTAGGCAAGGTATGAAATTACTAAAGTAGTAGTCATGAGCTGAAATGAAGTTCAGAGATTAATGAATATTTTTCTTTTAAGAATAAACAGTTTCAAAGACTTGATAAGATATATGTTCTGAGAAATAATATCTGAAGTGCTATTTTCAGCAAATAAGGAGTTTAGATTTAAAGAGAAACAGTTTTACATAATGTCAAGAACAGATGTTCCAAATACAAGTAAGGCAAAGGCAGTTATTACCAAAATATGGGGAAACTATGTAAGATACTGAGTTCTAGCTGATAATCTAAATTTCTTTAAGAAAATTTTACTTTAAAATTGTATGCATTCATACTGGAATATAGTTTGCCATGTTCTTTGTACAGTAACACTAATATAAAATATTATAAACTTGTTGGCTAACTTTCTTTTTCCAGCTGTCAAGAAAACAATTTTATTGATTGGAAAATGTCCTATTTAAGTATTTATGAGCATAATTCCATAATATTACTTGAAAAAATTTGAGAATAATGAATATGTCCTGAGGGCCTTTGTAGGAAAAAAGCACGTTATTGGGTTTTGTTTTTGTTTTGACCGGGGGGGATTATTTTGGTATTTTAATCTATCTTTTTGTTAGCCACTTTTATTTTTTAGCATTTTGATAATTTTCAGTGCTTTTCCAGTTTAATTTGCCTATCTTAGAGAATTTGAACCATATAAAACACACAGCCTTTGTTCTGTGATTTGTCACTTACTAAATTTTATAAACATTCTTTGTATTAGTGTATATTTTCCATGTTCCCAATTTTTAAAGTCAACTCTTTTTGATTTTAAATTTATTTCATCTTGTAACTAAAAGTTTATACTCTTCTACCAACCTTCCCCTATTTTATACTTTATTCTTTGTTAAACATGCTAAATTTTATGACATTTAAAAACCTTTCTGGGCCTGCAGGCTCTTTGGGTCATCATTATGAACACTAGTTTGGCATTGCAGTGCAGCTGCCCTGGCTCTAACAGGACTGGGGCTTTTAAGATACCATATTTCCACTTGCTTTTTGCCTAAGTGGAAGGCAGCACATTCATTATATAGCACAAGTCTAAGAAATGAGAACTGAAGAGCCTCTGGCCAAGTCACTGCAGCCAAAATAACTGGACTGCGGCAAGGCTGCCCTAGGCATTTTTTGCTGCCTTCACAGTCCCTAAGGTTTGGTGCATCAGTTTGTGTTGCCACAATTGGAATCTGTCAGAAGATAGTGAAGGCTATAGAATCAGCATTGCGATGGAATAGTTCAGGAAGCAGCCTCTGAAATGTAAGATTATTTCACATTGGTTGTCTATTAATATATGGGTGGGCTTGGAGTCATTTTGGTGAATGGTCTTGTAAGACAGGATTTCAAATAGACCTTGAGGAATGTTTTTGAATGCTCCTTGTTTTTCCCTTTAGCTCATTAGCAGACGAGTTGGAAGATGCATTGTATTCAGATATAATATTTCTCTCACTGTGAAGAGTGAAAGAAATATCACATTACACATCAGGCAGCACATTTTACTAGTAAAAGTGCAATGAAAGATTACCTTATTTATGGTAATATTTAAAACTACTGTCATTTCATTTTAAAATCTGTCATGTGGTTTTAAAAAATTACATGACTCAAAGAAATTCTGTTTTGAGAGTGTTGTAGCAAGAAGTAGCAAAAACATTTCAAAATCTAAGGTGGTTTCAAAATTATTGACATAATCCTACTACTAAAAAGTGTTTACTGAGAGAATAAACATGACTGTGGGTAATAAAAAGAAAGAAGAACTTTCAAATATGAGGGAGTTATGAAGTGGTCTCAGTAGAGACCAAAATATTTTCTGCTAGCATAATTAACTGAGGAAAGTCTTCATACCTCTTCTCTATCCAGATTGGGTATGTTTAGTTTAGGAGTTGGAATTTGGGCATATTTTCATTTAGTTAAGGCCCTATGTGATTCCCCCATCCCCATTGATAATTGGTATAGTTTATAGAGGTACATAATAGCATACTATGAATACTGGGGTTGAAATTTACAAAACTGTTACCTGGATCCGCTGATGACAGTTTGTAGTTCAGCTTTCAAAAAATAATTTCATCTCTGAATTTCTTTCTTCAACTATAAAATCAGTGTTTTGCAATAGACCTTTAAAGTACCTCTCTTCTTGAAATAGTCTAAAGCAATCTTAAAACCTAGCAGAAGAAGATAGTGTAACTCACTTATGGAATGTCAGATAATGGGGTACTCTACAGTTCAGTCTGTAAATACAAACGGGATATGAATCACTTATCTATTCCTTCAGTATTCCTTCAGTAAATTTTGAGTTTACAGACCAGATGCTACTCTCGATATTAGGAATACAGAAAAAAACGTATGGACCTATAGCTTACATTAACAAGAGAAACCAGACAACAAGTTAATAAATACATGGGGTTAGGGAATGATAAATTCTATGGGGGGAAAATTAAATACTTTCATCTCTGAAATTTGTGGAGTGGGGAGAGTGGAGATACAGAATATATTTGGAATGCTATTGCTAGAATTTTTCAAAAACTTGTTTTTTGGTTGCCTTTGAAGTGAGAATTTGATGAATAGGGAAAAAGACTTATTACTTCACATACCTTTTTGTGTTGTTTGGCTTTTTTTTTTAAATGCATGTGTGTTATTAAAAAGAAAAAGGCAAGCAACTGATCCTAATGCTGTGGGGAAAATTTTTTTTGGTGATGGTATTTAGCAGGTTTTCATCTAATCTGAACTTTTCCTGCTATGTCTACTAGTCTTATCTATGTGTCTTGGGTCCTAATAATACTTAGATAATACTTTGTTTTGGTTTTCTTTTTATCAGACTTTCCTTTTGATGTGTACAGATTTCTTTGTATTAACATTTGTAATGCTAAAACCCAAGTATGTGTATAGTTTTCTTTAATGTGTTTTAAGTATCAGGAGAAAAAAGTTTTATCAAAGTTTTTAAATTAAGGACAGCTTACTTACTCCATATTGTTCTTAAGATAAGAAATAGTTTTTGACATTTTTTCTTCTGTTACATATTTTATTTTATTTGAGTTTTTTATTATGGTTGCTTTTAGGTTCCAAATATCAGTTGATCTTGAAGAACTCAAATGATGTCACTTCTGTTTCCCTAAAAAAAAAAAAAAATCAACACTCTAAGTATTTTTCCTTATTTTTCTCTCTTCTAGTTGGATGAAAAATCTGACAAACAGTATGCTGAAAATTATACAAGGGTGAGTTATATTAATATCTAATGAAGTTTAATTCTCAGTGTCAGTTCAGCTTCCTTTCTACTACTGTTTAATTCTCTACATTGCTACCATGAACTGGTGGCATTACATATTCTCTCTTCATCTATTTCCTGTTCTTGCCCTCTTACATTCCTCTAAAGTTGAATCATATGAAGCATGGGGAAGAGAAAAGGCACTCTTTTATGTCCTTGAATGTCACTTCTTAAATTTTTGACTGTCCTTTTGATTTTCAGTCCTCTAGAATTTGATCCTACTAAAAAGTCATTTGACACTGAAAACGAAGTGTGTTTAGGAATGGTGGTGACAAATTCTAAGAGTTTTTTTTCACTTTACAGACAAGTTATTTTTATGAAACAATAGAACTTTCCAGAGGTTACTTTGTGTTAAAGTATATACTTTTCTTCTAGAAGTACTTTTAGAAAATCATATCAAAGAAGGCATTTATTAGTATTAATTTTATGCTGTACCCAAAAGCGATGTGCCAGTTTTGACCAGTAGAAATGCAGTGCAAGCCACAAAGGTGAGCCATATATGTAAGTTAAAATATTCTCATTGCTTAGACCATTAATACCTTAAAAGGAAATGGGTAAAATTAAATAGTATAGTTTAATAGAAAGATTTTAATGTAATCAATGTGAAAAAAAATTTTGTTAATTTTCTCCAATGTTTTATTGATTTGCCACTAGTTTAAGTAGCTATAATTTTAGGAGTACAACTTTATACCTCTATATGTATATGTGCTTTTTCCACACTCCACCATCTCAAGTACCACAACCCTGATACCTCTCCCCTACCTTCTCCTCCCTTTTCTCCAATCCTTCTATCAATCTCTTAGCCATTATGTTAAGAGACTAATAATTATTCTTGTCTTGCTGGTTTGTTCTGATTATTTATTTATATCTCACAAATGGGTGAGACCACTAGCAAGTGTCTGACTTATTTCTAGCATAATCACCTAATATCAAAAATTACTGAGATATTTTGCATTCTTTTTCCTGTACTTTGAAATCTGGTATATATTTATACTTAAAAGAGTCTCAGTTAGGACCAATGACATTTCCACTGCTCAGTAGTCACACTTGGCCTGTCCAAATTGGATAGCACAGACTTGTGTCTTTTAATCATCCGGTAGAAAGTCTCACATTTAAATTAATTGTGGTTAGAACAATCTAAATTCATAGTGACACATAGTATTGTTCCTCTGTGCTGCAAATTATATCCAACTGTATCAACAAAATACTAGAAAATTCTAAGGAGGAAGCTTATGGAATTAAAACAGGGGCACTACTAATTAATGTGTAAGATAAAACTTTTATATTAATCTGATGTCTCAACCCAGTATTTACAATAAAACATAGATAAACTTAAAAAATTGCTCCCACAGAAACTCTTTCTTTCTTAGTTTTTAGGAATTTTAGATTCTAAAAAAGTGTCAGTGGACTTGTAATTTATACATATAGGCCCTTCTCTAAATACCTGGCCCCAAAGGGAAGCTGATCTAAAATTGCCTTAGGTTGCTCTTGGTAATTTCTTGTCTACGCTGTGGTAGATCTCCCTCCCACCCTTGCCGTTTTTAGTTTTGTCCAGAGGTAACGTAGTGCAAACTACAAATGTAAGTCACATAAGCACATTTAAAAAAAAATTTAAATAATATAATAGTTTATTTTTACATCATTTTGTGCATTTTTTCATTGCAGTTGTAACCCCTGTTGCTTCCCATCATCAAAATTTTAACTAACGTGTTTAAACATTTTTTCAAACATTTTTTTAAAAGATGTATTTATTTATGCATACAGAACTAGGGTACAGGCCATAGACTCAGGAGCGGTGAGAGGATTCACCAGAGACAGAGTGGGGAGCAGAACAGGCAGATCTATGGAGTACTGCTTGAGGAGAGCAGTGGGCGAGTCAGGAGAGGTCTGCCACACCATGTGAATCACCTCTGGGGTGGGGATGGAACTCATGCTGAAGTGACTTTAACTTCTTAGTGCTGTGCTTTAACCTGCTATGCCATCAGGGAGGTTCCCTTCAAACATATTTTTAAATAAGACTTAGCAGTGCTGTGTTTCCTTCTTTTCTAGCCTTCATCTCGAAACTCCGTCTCAGCAACAACCCCTCTAAGTGGAAATTCGTCCCGACGGGGAAGTGGGGACACCAGCAGCTTAATAGATCCAGACACCTCATTAAGTGAATTGCGGGTAAATCACAGTTTTTGATTTGCTATTTTCTAGTTTGCTAGTACACTGGAACCACTTAACATTTAATGACTCAGTAAAAAGAAAGGCCTGTGAATTCTTAAAAATAATTATCAGTACAACTTAAGAATGTGACTTGTTTCAGACCTGAAAGGAAGATCAGATAATTTTCCCCCCTCTTCTGTTTCCATAAAATGTGGTGCTATTGGAAAGAGTTTTGCTAATTTACAAATGTCAAAAAAATTAATGTACGTGAAAGTAATTATCTCAGAAATATTTAGTCATATTTTAAATGGAAAATATGTGGATGTACCAAGAACCAGATTCTGGGAATTATTAGTATTAAGTGTTGTTATGGGTATTACTTAGCTGCTTGGATGCCGTTTTGTCTGACTTTCATAATACAGCATAGTAATACTTAGGAAAACAGAAACATCCAGGTAATAAAAAGCTCATTGCCTATCAGTTGATCTTCCATTCATATTAACCTTTTACTTGAAAGATGGCAATTTTCAAAAAGTATTTAAATGTCTATTTACTGACCTGTTATTTGTGGGGAATAAAAAGTGCATTCATTCATTCATTCAACATTTATTGAGCATGTGACCTTGGAGATTTAGGCAATACAACACACTTGGGCTTTAGGAGTTGGCAGTTTCATGTAGAAGACACACTGATGATACCAGTAAAACTGGATGGTATGATACTATGGTAGTAGCAAGCATGGGACTGTGAAGGGAATTTAGAGAAGCATCATCTAAATTGGAAGAGACGAGATGACAAAAAGCATTTTAGAGGAGACAAATTGAGCTAAGGTTTAAAGGAAGAAGACATACAAGCCAGGTAATGTCACTGAAGGGAAGATCTCCTCAGAGAAATATTGTGAGAACTGGAGATTATCTGTACAGCAAAGGGGCCAGAGAGAAAGAGGAGAAGCGAGGAGTAGTGTTGACTTAAAGAGGCTAGAAATGTAGCGGTGCGCCAAGTCACCCTAACAACTGTGGCATATTAAGCGGAGAGCAATAATGTCAGAGTTGCATTCCTTAAAGATGACTAACCATGGTTTGCAGTGTTGGAGGTAAGGAACAATAACCCCATGGTTGAACAATGAGGCTGAAATAAGTATGTCAAAACGGTGATGATAGAAAATGGAAGAAATTTGTTCTGAAGCAAATATTGGATGATGGGAAATATTGCAGAGAGGTTAAAAGAAGTCTTTCGTTTCTTTTAAAGGTGGGATTATTTTTAAAGGTACGATTGAGCCAGTAGAAAGAGTGTGAAAGTTGAATAAGGAGAAGTATAACCCATGAGCAAAGTGCTTGAGTGGGTGAGAAGAATGTTTGGGGCTTGAATGGACTTGCCCAATTTCAAAGTTCATTTCCATTTACAGCAAAGAGGAGGAGGTAGGGGCAGGTGACGAATTAGTAAGATTGTAGGCAACGTAGTAGTAGTCTGGTTTGTGGAACAGTTAACTTGAAAAAGTGGACTGGAGATTAGAAGAGGGTAGAGAAGTGGCAGTGACAGCAGAAGAAGTAGGTCAAATGGCTAGGCGGACAAGGCCTTTCTGTCCGAGACTTCCTACCCCTGCTGTTTATTTGTATTTCTTTGAGAGAATGTCTTTGAAGAAAATGAGACTTTGGTATCCTGTTCCTGACTTAATAAAGTCTCCATAACTGTCTTTTGAATAAATGAATGAGTAAAAGACAGATAAGCCTACCAAGGTGGGGACAAAGGGACAGAAAGTCTAAAATGTGTCTATCAGTCCTTAGTAATTTATCTCATTGGTAATTGCAGAATTGTATTTAGGGCTCTGGCAGTTATTTCCCATTAGATATCTGGAATAGATCCTATGTAGCAGAGTAAAGCACAAAGGAAACAATATTTTCCATTTAAAATTTGACCCTTATTTTTCTTCTGAAGAGTTTAACTCTTGGAGCAAAAGCTTTTCTCATCATTTAAGTAGTGTTGTCAAGATAGATTATCTTATTTGACATTGTGTTTAAAGTGTGGAATTGATATTCCCTCCCTTTGCTTTCTTTCCTCCAGATTAGTTTTGGTCAGTAACCAAGTTACATCCATTTATAACATTTTTTCAAAACTTCTGCCTATCAGTAAAATTTGCTACTTAAAATTAATTTACTTTAGATTTTACTAGCTTTAGGTGAAGTAGTATGCTAAATTACATAAATTACTTAAAAATTTGCACAAGTATATTAAAAGTGTTATATTTTATGTAACCTTTTCTCATGTATAGCCCTATTCCCATTTGCTAATCTATTTCAATGACAAGAAAATATTTTGACACTTTAGATTGAATACTACAGCTCCTGTCTAGCTTCACTGTCATGTGACCTGTTTTGCCCTTTTCAGTCATTTGGAGAGTTACATTTGTATACTTTGATTTTTCTCCATTTAGTTTGGAATATATGCAAGTTATTCACATTTTCATCTGAATCCGTTAAGACTTCATATATGTTTGTACATGGTTTTATGCAATGGTTCATTCCTATGTCCTGCAGGATATCTATGACCTTAAGGACCAGATACAGGATGTAGAAGGGAGATACATGCAGGGACTTAAAGAACTAAAGGTATCAGGGCTCATTCTGCCGTCCAAGCATGCTGTCTGTATGCAGAAGTGTTGGTAATGGTGGTTTCACAAATTATATTAACCCCACTGCACATAGCTTTACTAACAATGTTTGTCTTTCAAGCATGTGCTTAACTTGCAATGCATAGGAAAGGCAAACTTTCAAGCTCTTCTCTTCTTATGTTTAAATCTTTAGTATAATTTTGGGAATATTCAAAAAAAGATAGTATACCTTACAGTTTTTGAACCTTGTAAAATAAATACTTGCATGGGCCTTGCGTCTTAGACATACAAAATTAAATTGAACAAACACCTAAAAGTAATCCTAAGAGTTTTTTAACTGAAAATTAGACCATACTACTCCTCCAACTTAAATTAAAAGAGTATTGTCTATTTCTATCACCAAATCCAGTCAACATTAAAGGTAAAAGGAAGAAATATCTGTGAGAGCACATATAATAAATATTCCCTTTGGTAGAGGGGACCTTCAGCATGAGGTTGTGTTTTCTCTTGTTTAGATATTCTTTGCTTACATAGATTTAATGCCTTAAAGAATTTGGAGGTACTTTTAAATGGTCCTTATCTATTCCTAGTAAGAATGGCTACCAGGTTTCAAACTAAGTGTCCATATGAGGTTGTAGGTAGCACTAGGTTATCTTGCTCTCTTCTACATTTATTTTATTATTATGAAACCTAGTATATAATAATATTTATTTCATTTATAATACATTCATAATAATGTTATACATAATATGTATTATGAAGCCTAATATGAGGAAACTAAAAGCTCCTCGTAACACATGCCTGTGAAAGAGAATTATATATCGGGTCTCTAGAAAATCATAAGCAAAGCATTTAGAAAGGTGGCTTAGGATAGACCCTGAAGGTCTTTTGGACTGAATGGACAAGGCTTTCATCAACCTCACTGCCGTGACTTCAGGCAGCCTAGTTACCAACCAGACCCTTCATTCAGGGGTTTGTGGTCGACACAGAAGTTAGTATTAAGGCTCAGTACCAAGAATCATGGTCAGTCTTTGGATAGTGCCTTGAGGGAAGCCTGGAAGCTGCTGATAGGCAATGTGAGATTACCTGTAACATCAGGAGAGTTATCGAATCAGTATAGTGTATTGATGTGCTTATTTAGTCTTAAATCTTCAGGATTTAATCTTCCTTTTAAAGTTTGAGATTTGGGCCCTCCCTGGTGGCACAAGTTAAGCACGCACTATGAAGCTAGCCACAGCTACTTCAGCATGAGTTTGATCCCCGGCCAGGGAGGTGGCCTACATGGTGTGGCAGACCTCTCCTGACCTGCCTGCTGCTCAGCAGTATAATTTGTCAGTCTACTTGTTCTTCCCCCAACTCTGTCCCTGGTGAATTCTTTCACTGCCCCTGCACCTCTGGCCTGTACCCTAGTTCTGTCTGCATAAATAAATAAATCTTAAAAAAAAAAAAGTTTTAGAGATTTGACTTTTGGTAATATGTACAATCAAGGGAATATATCTACTACATTAAATTTACTCATTAATGTCTCATGTAACAATGTATTAGGAAAAGAATAGTGACTCAGAAACTTACTTATTTAACGTGAAAGTATTTCCCCCCTTACCTTTTAGATCTACTATTTTATTCTTTAAAGGATACAAATGAACACATTAAATTTATTTGAGACTTTGAACAGATAAAACACATTTTCTTAGTTCACAGTAAAACACATTTTCTTAGTTCACGGTCAGCATAACTGAACTTGTTTTCAGACTGCAGACAGATTTTTTTTTTTTTTTT